CCCAGAAAGACACAAGCCACCCACCCTCACCATGCTCGAAACGCAACCCGAGTACAATAACACCATCATATTAACGTTACTGTGTGTTTTCATCTACAAGCGAACATTCAGGACTGTGTCGTTACACAAAACGCTTAGCAAGCCGGCTTGGTGGTCGTGGGCGTGGGGTTGGTGGGCAAGTAGGGCTCGATGAAGCTGCGGGCCAACGACAAGCGGCCGTACACACCCGGGAGGCCAGGGCTGGCGCAGCCAATGCCCCAGCTGGTCACGCCGGTCAAGTACTCGACGCCGTTCTTGGTCACGGTCAACGGTCCGCCAGAGTCACCTTGGCACGTGTCCTTGTCGGCCCCGCCGGCGCACAAGTGCGTGGGTTGGATCGTGTTGTACGACCCGAGCGCCTTTTGGCAGTCGGCGTTGGACCAGATGACCACGGGCGCTTCGAGCAGCACGGGGGATTGCGATCCGCCCGACTTGGTGGTGCCCCACCCGCGCACCCACGAGGTCGCGCCCGGCGCGTTGAACTGGTCGTCGTCCCAGTTGAGCTTGACCACGGGGAACGTCGACGCTGTTTCCAACTCGAGCACGGCAAAGTCGTACTCGTACGTGTTGGCGTTGTACTTGGGGTGCTGCGTGCGCTTGACGATCTTGATGCGTTCACCGTCCTGGTTGCCCTTCAAGTAGTGCGTGCCCACGGCCGCGAACGTGGCCCACGAAGACGCCACGCAATGCGCCGCAGCCACGAGGATCTTGGGGGCGACCAACGACGCGCCGCAGCTGGACGAGCCAGTTTCGGTCGAGCGAAGACCCGTCACGTACGTGTACTTGCCGATGGGGGTTTCCGTCCCGTTGACGATTTCGTATTGGGCGGCAGCGGAGGCGGCGACGGCGGCGAGGGCGAGGAACTTGACCATAGCAAAGTGAATTCGAAAATGAGACGAATGACAATGTGGTGGGGTGGTTGTCCACTGTATTTGACGTGTTGTGAACCACGCAAACCTGTTGGGAGATGTAGGGTATTTCGGGTTTCTGCTGGAAATATATGGAGTGGGTGGGGTGGCACCATATGGTTTATGAGGATTCACTCTGTCCGACAAGATGGTGGGTAACAGCCTGTTTTTCTACAATTCATTGCAATTGTGAAACGAATTTCGTGGTTGAATCAGGTTACTAGTACCACATTAATGATCATGTTGCGGCTACTAGCGTTTCGAGAACCTTAGTCTTATGGAAGCTCGTACGTTCTTTAATTCTGGTATACTCGCCTACAATAAGCTCACCGTGGCTTTGACTTGATCTAACTTACAGTTAGATTGGGATTATGGACGTACGGGAACTGTTCGTACCGTATTTGTATGGAGATTTACCTGGTACTTCTTGTGGGCTGATATTTCACCTCTATAACCCATGTCGCAACTCAAGGTAATCCAGGCCTGACCATGCATCGTCAAAGTACTATTAGTATCTACTAGTACTACGGTTGTACTATTAGTAGTTACTAGGACTACGGTAGTACGAGTACTATTAATACAGTAGTACTATTAATAGTAATAAGTTGTACAATTAATAGTACTATGTAGTATACTGTATGAATTATTGGAACACTATAAAAGTACCGTTACGGGAGCGCTTTGGAAAGAGCACTGGAACCCTCCACGAACATACTGTGTACCGGTACCCGAGTGAAATAGGGGATTGCGCTAGTCAATTGGCGGAGTGGCCGTTGAATTTGGTCCTTCGGTTCATGGACCGTTAGATTAGGCGGTGTGGTGCCTTGTCGAAGTGGGATTGATATTATACAAGGGCTTACACAGAAAGGGCTCCCGTGGGAGAGTTGCACGTTGGAGTTTGTAGAAAGGTCCATAATACTATACTGTACTCCTAAGTTTGAACTGAACTAACACTAGATTAGCGAATACTAGTAAATTGGTAGCTAGACCTCTAATATGAACCGCTGTACGTGTAGTAAGAGCCTGTTCCAAGTAGAATTGAAAAAAAACGAAAAATGGGGTGACAAAATATTTCGTCCCATTTTCTACCCATTCTATGATTAATTGAGTTTGGATTATCATTTTTAAGACATTCCTCGCGAGGGCCGACACTAGAACCACATGTTCTGGAACCGCTTCGCCAATTGTAACGCGCCTGCTCGACCAGGGGCGGTGTGTAATCTTCGGTTTTTACTTCGCTCAACGCTTCATACCTCGTGCTTCGACCGATCTTCTTCGAAGTTCGGTCCTCGTCTTCGTACGCAGCCCTTGTTATCCGGATTCCCCAGGGAGGGACGGATAACTCCTTGCGGAAATAATCCGGGGAATCCGGGGATCGAACCCACGACCTTTGAGTTAAGAACCCGATGCTCTACCACCTGAGCTATAGTAGTTATTAATATACCTCCCCTTTGACAGTGAGCTATTCCCCCCCCCATCTACCCATTCTATGACAATGATTGATTGGGCATAAATCATTAGACCAGACCAGACTACGGTGCATGATGATTGGTCAATAACACAGTCAAATAGCCATTTTGGACATGCAGCCCAAAAGTGTACCCGAGCCGTGCTCGAGGCTGAGTTCCAACTCTTGCGTATACCAACACCACATGGTACTGGGTACGAAAACAGTGTTGATGGAGGGGCGCGGTTGCTACATCCGTCGATCGACATGAGGGCGGCGCCAAGGTAGCAACGACAGCAACACACACGGCAATGGTCGAGTCCATCATGTGATGAGATTGCGATCAATGATTGGATAGTGAGACATCCATTATTATCCAGTCATTGAGGGTATTTGCTGAATTGATGAAATGGGGTCATGTACCCCATTTTGAAAAATGAATGAGTTGGGGAGCGTTTTGATTGGATAATACCCATTTTGAAAGTAAATGGAACAGACTCTAAGCCAAAACTCATAGATAATCAAAGGCAAAAGTTGGCAAGGGGCAAGCACTACGTTGATGCATAAGGCATAAGTATAAATCAATGGATCCAAAGGACGTTTGAAAGTACACTCGTCACTTCTAACTTAAACAACGATATAGCAAATCTCGGCATACAAGTTAAGCCAGTCGAAGTGAATGTGTTTATGTTATACTTCGTGTAGCATAAATCATGTATAAATATCGAATCGATTTGCACGCAGATCCCATTTTTTCACTTCAACACACTTTACCTTGAACTTAGTATACAATTGTACAATTGTACTGAGATTAACAATCAATGAACCATATAAAGGCGACAGACATCTCAGGGAAGCGACTTATGATTGGCCAACGTTCGATCTTTAACGGACAGATAATTATTCTCATTACAACAACTCAGTCGACTTCAATTCATTGGCGACCAAGGCTCATTTCTGAATTTCACTGCTCGCGGCATGATCAGCCTCCCTCACGCGCTTCGTAGCGCTAGCACGACCAATGTCATTCGGGATAGCATCCAGTCTATGTACGTGACCGGATTGAGCGAAAACAAATCGTCGGCTGCCTTTTGCAGTGCAGCGCTCATCGCCCCCATGTGGCTGCTTACGTTGGCAGAGTGTGTCAATGCGTCAAAGTGGGCCGCAATTGCATCCAATTCTTCGTTGGGCGACGATGGGACAGAGCGCATTGAAGTTGATCGTTGGGTCCTGCAGCCCCACTATACCAACAGCTCGGGCTATCAGCAGTTGGCCTTGTTGGAACTGAAAACAGCAAGCCAGTACGCCCCAGCAAACATCTCATGGAACGACAACTTACCGGACAACTCCACTTTGTGGGTGCGTGGGTTCGACACTTCCACATCGGACAAGTCCCTGGTGGAAACCACGGCGAAACTATGGCGCTACGACGAGTGTGACAAGTTTTACTACGACCACCAAGAATACGGACGAACACTCAACGAATCCATGCTGTGTCTTCGTGACAGTCAATGCCAGCAAGAACGAGGCAGTGCGGTCATGGTAAATGTCAACGGTACAAGCCGATTGATTGGCCTTACCTACTGGCAAAGCGGCAACACCACCATCGCCCCAGCAGTTTTCCTACCAATCACATCTGCAAAAGAGTTCATTCAATCCACCCTTCAAGCGACAACTTCTGCTAATTCATCCACGTACCCACCAATTGGCTCAACCAGTATGCCCTCAGTGACTAGTCCTATATCAACCAACCCCACTAGTACCATTGCTAACCATCTAACTACCCCCGCCCCTACACAAGGCACAACTCCCCCCAAGAATCCTTCACCCTCTGCCACAGGGCCTGGATCGACCGACCCAAACCAACTAACACCAACCGGCTCAATACCTCGACCTGCTGGCCCAACCCCAACTGGTCCCTCTCGTACAAGGCCTACACCCACTGGTTCCGTCATGAGTCCATCGGCTAGTGGTCCTGCGTCGACCAAACCAAATGTACCGGAACCTACCGCCTCGACCAACCCCAACCAACCAGCAAACACTGGCTCCACACCCAAGCCCACTGGTCCAATTCCGACTGATCCTCGTCCAACTGGGCCTACACCTACTGGCCCCACCGCGAGTCCATCGACTACTGGTCCTGCGTCTACCAACATAAACTCACCGGCATCCACTGGCTCCACACCACAGCGCACTGGCACGGCGACTCCATCATCCACCAGTCCTGACAAACCTACTTCAAACCCATCAACTATGTCGCCTTCTCGTTCACCGTCGACAGTAGTCGCTACGACGAGACTGCCCCTCACGACCATGGGCCCTGCTTGGACAACTACGAAATCGCCAGCGACCACGGCACCCAAACCTACCACTTCCCCGCCAGAGTCGGTGACTCCAATTATTTTCTGTGGCAGTGGCACGAATCCCACAGGTGGTCATACCAAGTGCTAAGAATGCTTCCCAGTATTTCCCAATCATGGAACTCAATGCCTTGTGTGGGGTGTTGAACCTAACTGACTGGAGTGTCGCTCGTAACAAGCACAAATATTATGGTCATTCATGGTATCTTGTTGTCGCGAGGGGACAACCTAGTCTTCGCATGAGAGGATTTGAGGTAAGGAGCATATTTGCACACTTTCTTTCAAGGATCAAGATGTTGTTGAGCAAATCGTGAGCAATATGTGATCCGAAAAACACAATCTGATTTGTATTTATTTCATAATGTGAAACCGAATTGTGCTTTTCGTCCAAGATTGGGGGGTTACAACAAATCGAACAAATCAATATGTTTGACTAAAATGAATCAAGGTTCATTATGATTGGTTAAAACAAATGAATATTCACAAGATCGTACCATCAATATCAATAAACAAATGAATAATCACAAGATCGTACCATCAATAGTACCGCTAATCCTGTAAATGTTATACTATAATAATAGTAGCATATATTGCGCAGGTTCGGCGAAGGTTGGGCGGCTCATTCAACCAATCGCCCGAGGAGCTTTTGAGTAGAACACACCTGGAATTGCCATAAAAGGCGAAATACACAAGTTGGATTGGAGGAAATCTTTGGTCGATGGGAGTACGTAAATGCAGTGGAGATTGGAAGGTAAAACCCAAGCAATATCGTACGAAGCCCTCATGAGTGTCAGACGCGGTATAGGGGCTGCATGGGTTGTATGAGGAGGTTGCTATCATCACACACTCTCAGTCATGGGTGGGCCGCATGGATTAGCTTCGTTGTATTGAACCAGGTTGTATGCATTTAATGCAAACATGCAAACGGTTCGATTATAGAAATGACCGCAAGAGCTCTCTTACATTAAACTGATTCACAGTTTCATTCATAGAAGAAACCATCTTGTCCATACATGGAATATCACTGACTTTACGTCCAAAAACTGATTCAAATCAGTGTGAAACCTCATTTTGGAACTCGACCGGTCATGCAAAAGCTGTTTTGGATTGCCGCCACGATGGGGACGGTTGTGGTACATGCATACTCTGCTGGCTTCCAGAACGCAAAGATATCCCCGTACGTGGCTCAACTGCGCTCGTCTGCGAATGATCCCATGATTTGCCAAGGGATCCTCATCGACCCTAACATTGCCCTCTTTACTCAATCATGCGCGGAACTTTACGACGAAGCGGACAAAGTTGTGATTGGGGCTAGTCGGATCAATGGCGGGCTGGACGACGGCGAGTGGAATAAAGTGCTAAGCAAAGCCTACAGTCCCAACCGTGCCCTGGATTTTGCATTGGTGCAATTGGCTCGGCAATCCAACTACACTCCAGTCCAAATCCTGTGGGACGACGTCGCCCCTGGCAAGGTAGTGTGGCTGCGTGGTTGGCTTCCATTCAACAGCGACAAGTCGGTGAATCGGCTCGAGGAAACTACGGTTCAAGTTATTACGAACGACCAGTGTCAGGCCAAACTCAAACGTCCTATGTACGACTTCGAAGTGTGCGGTGACAACGACGGGATTGACAGCTGCAGTTCGTACATTTCTGGATCCCTTATCACCGAGATCGGTGGGCGCGATTTTCTCGTTGGCACCATGTCGGATTACCAATGCGTGCACAAGCCCGTGTACCAGATATTCAACCGTCTCTCCGCCTTTCGTCCGTTTATTGAGCCAATTCTGTGCGGCGGAAAGTAACGACGTCCTTCTGTATTTGGCAATCGGAAAAGTTGTTTGTTGCCAACGAAGAAATACTCCACCGACTTTTTTATTCAAATTCGTTTCCACATGAAGTATAAATGTAGCTGTGATGATATTTGACGAAAACCCATCATTGGTCAAGTGGTTCATTCTCCTCGACCAGCACCTACATCCGTTGACCGCAACTTCCTAGGCGTAGGAGTCGACGGACCTCGACGCCTGCGATGCAGTCAATGCGATGCAGTAGCACTCTTGTATCGAATTAGTCCATGTCGGCATATTTGCTGCGGTCGGTGCATACGTCTCCAGTGACGTTGGTTTTGGTGGAGCTAGCTTTGGAAGGGGATGGTCGTTACAATATCCACAGAGCACACTCACGACATAGCAACACGATCGGATCGATACTGGCCAACGGAATCTTCCCTTGGTGACCAAGCCGCACGTGGATGTCCACGATCCACAGAGCACACTCACGACATAGCAACACGATCGGATCGATACTGGCCAACGGAATCTTCCCTTGGTGACCAAGCCGCACGTGGATGTCCACGATCATTTCCACGGCGCCACAATGAAATGCACTCGACCAGGCACGGTGTTCGTCGACGCCACCGCTGTGAAAAGCTCCTGGTTGACCACGACGTTCTAAAGCGTTGTGATGATTACAAATCCGTCGAAAAGAATCATGAAGAAGCTGGAGATGATGGTCTACGGGACGTCGAGCGGCTCCACTTTTGGTCGACGAACTTGGCATGGAACTACGGCAGCCGACTGATATGATTTGTAGCATATCGATGAACGTCATTCTAGTACGATCCTGGAACAGCTCCTAGAAGTTGTCCACCCACTCGCGACCTAAGAAACTTGGTGTATTGGACGACAAAGTTGTAGACAGCACGACAAGACACATGGCGTTGCCCACAGTTACGAACAACCTCAATTGAATTGATTGGTCCAAAATAGCGAAAGTGTTTGACCATTAGAAGAAGCTCTTGTAAATATGGTGTACCTTTATGCTGCGACAACGACCAAACGTTACCCACGCCATTGTACTGCGTAGCAGTATTTTGCAAACCGTTTTAGTCTACTTCTACGTTTGTTATCAAAACGACGCTTAACATATGGAGGAGATGCTGACGAGGTACAGTATGTATTGGCATGGAAAGAATCATCTTCTACCTCTGCAAAGTATATATCATATTGAGAACGATCAAGGTTGATGGCATTTCAGGACATGTTTACTGTTAATGCACCCAATCACAGCTTTTTTGCATATCGACTTGCTAAACACCTCTAATATTGTCCAGTTGCCACGAACATGAAAATAAGGACCATCACATTTCTTCAATGTAGGTCTAACGCTGATAAGGGCGGGTACATATGCCCTGCAGCGGTGGAAACGAAAATATGAATGAACAACTAGCTAAAAGATGTAGAAAAAAGAGCTTGAAATAACATAATTGCTCAAAGTATGACAACTACTATCCTCTGCACAGGAAGGGCTCGATGAAGGAACGACCGGCCGAGAGGCGATTGAATACCTGGAACTTGGGGTCCCCGACACAGTTGCCCATGTTCAACGTGCCAATAAGGAAATCGGTGCCACCAATCTCGATCATGAGGGATCCTAAAAAGAACGACCGGCAGCTGTCGATGCGGTCATTGTCGCCGCAGACTTGGTGGTCGTACAAGTGGCGATCGATTTTGCCCTGGCACTTGTCGTTGGTGGGGATTTCAACCTTGGTTTCCATGAGCTCAGACTCGGCCTTGTTGAATGGGAACCAGCCACGAAACCACACCAGTTTGCCAGGTTCGAGATCGTCCCACAGGATTTGGACAGGTCGATGTTTGGAGGGCCGAGACAGCTCCAACATTGCAAAGTCCAGGGTATGGTTGGGACTGTAGTATTTCCGGACCACTCGGATCCACTCGTCGCCATTTGAGCGGCCACGCCTCGAACTTGCCCCAACCACAACGTTGTCTGCTTTGTATTGTTCGATGCATGTTCGAGAAAAGAGGGCGAAGCGGGGGTCGACCAGAACACCTTGGCAGATGATTGGGAAATTCCGGACCGTGCGCAGTTGAGCCATATACGAGGTCTGCTTTGCCTTGTCGATACTAGCAGAGTATGCAGTCACCACCACCGTGGTCGTGGCGGCTACTGCAGCAGCAGTCCAAAGTAGTCTTTGCATGACACGTCGAGTTTGGAAATGAGGTTCCTCATTGAAGGGCGACAGTTATTTGTTTTGCAGTAAAGTCTGTGATGTTCAATGTATGGACAGGGGGGATTTCCATGAACGGATCTGTCAATCAAGTTGGAATTTTGGTCGGTTCGATATCATGTACTTCAAGGGTTTAATACAGCCGTGTTCCCATCAACGACTGCATGTACCCATGTCATTGGACGTGGCAAACACCACCGTGTGACAATATGGAGTCATCTACGGCGATGATCGGCCATGAAACGCATGATGCTGTAGCTTGTGGGTGATGTGAGCCAACGTGTAAGGCAAGACATCATAGTAAGACTTCGTTGCGGTAGACTCAGGTACAGTACGTTGGTGTTAGCAATATCAATGCAAGTCGAGATGAGTGAGTCTTGTTTCGTCACGAGTACCAGAATGACGCCAGCACATGCAGCCTGCAAGTGGGTTTTCGACGATGTTGCATATGCTGTGTTGTTGTCGGCACTCATTACACCTAGCTCAAGCACGTATAAGTTATTAAGCAACATACTGGTAGTTACTGCTGCCCCATGCATTTGTGCCGTGCTTCAATTTCCCGGGTGGCTAAAGGATCTGTGCACAAATTTCTCGCACCCAGTGTCCGTTTTGAAGTCCTCAAGGTGATGTGTATTACTTTCGAATGATGGGTTTAATACGCTTTCACTCACTATACAAAACTACTGTGTTTCGTAAATGAGGAAATCATCAAATGCTAAAAATAGCATTAGACCGCGTTTTCGTCAGAAATCTTCATGATGCACACCAGACTCAAAGATATGCTTCGAAAAGAGTTTGAGAGGGTTTTTGTCAGAAATCATCACAGCTACATATTGCGGATTCTACTCGAAATTTCCATGTTCGATTTGGTTAAATCGAACAGAGCAGAGGTTTTGATCGGTTCTGAATCCGCCCTAATAGTATAATATATAGATATATAGAGGTAGTTGCGAATTCACATTGGAGGCCACAATTATCAGGATTTCGTCGCGCCTCGAACGTTCTCCGCATCTGCGTGGGGTGCTTTTCACCCCACGCAGATGCGCCATTCGCAGCGTAGTGGAGGTAAGCTTGCTTCTGATTATCGGGAGGAGTTTGGCGCATTGCCGGGGTTTAGCGTTAGCGAATCACTGGCGATGCGCCAACCCCCGGAAAATGAAGACTGCACTTCGATATAACTTATGTACTTTAGGTTCCAGAGCGTCGGGGTTCCGAGGTGTCAGGCTCTTCGTGGGGCACGTCGTTGTGTATCCACTTCATTTCTTTCGAGGTATGTGATATTTCATGCGCGAAGCGCCATCCCTAATTCCTGCCAGCACACTAGCGCAGCGGCGTGTTAATTAGAGTGGACATCATTGGATGCTAAGAATAGAATTAGAGTGGAACTCGTGGGATGCTAACAATAGGATTAGAGTCCATTCCATCATCGCTGAGAGTTTCAAGCAAGTCGGACAACGCGCGAGTTTGATTCCGCACCGACTCCTCCAGTCGCATGACGACAAACAAAGAAGTTGGATGCTTGAGTGCTGAAATTAACGTCACATGCAGCTACAGTAAGGCTGCCGGCTTCCGAGCTGCTGTACAAACTAACTATGACAACGAAATGAAGTGAACACGATGGCCGTCCGACCACCATTAGACCAAACTAAGAAGACCTCTTGAGATGCTCATGATTGAATATTGACGAGTTTAAGTAGCTACGTTCCTTTGCTCAGGAATGACTCGATAAAGGTGCGGTCGGCCGAGAGGCGACTGAATATCTGGTACACGGGCTCGTACTCGCAGTTGCCCACAAACAACGTCCCAATAAGATAATCGCGTCCACGAAGCTCGGTGATGAGGGATCCAGAAATGAACGAACTGCAGCTGTCAATGCCGTCGTTTTCACCACATACTTGGCTGTCGCGCACGTAGCGATTGAGCTTGAACTGGCATTTGTTGTTTGGAATGACTTGGACCGTGGTTTCCACCAGCCGATTCAAAGATAGGTTGCTGTTGAATGGATGCCAACCACGCAGCCAGACCACCTTGCCAGGGGCGACGTCGTCCCACAGGATTTTCACCGGTGTGAAGTTGGATGGTCGCGCCAACTGCACCATGGCAAAATCCCGGGTACGGTCGACACTGTAGAATTTCTTGAGCACTGAAATCAACTCGCCGTCGCCCAACCCGCCATTGGTTCGACTTGACCCAACCACCACTTTGTCAGCTTCGTCGTGGTTTTGGGCGCATCCACGACTAAAGAGGGCGTAGTGTGGGTCGATGAGAACCCCTTGGCAGATCATGGGATCGTTTGCAGACGAACGCAGTTGAGCCATATACGTCGACATCTTTGCGTTCTGGAAGCCTGCAAGGTATGCATTCACCAACACCCCGGTCATGGCGGCGGCAGCAGTCCAAAGCAGTCTTTGCATGACACGTCGAGTTCAAAAGTGTGGTTTGCAGTGCGCACTCCTTGAACAGTTGCAGTTATTTGCAGTAAAGTCAGGTTTGTACAAAAACGTACGGACAAGCGGGATATCTATGAACGGATGTGTCAATCAAGTCAATGTGAATACCACAGTGAACTTCAAGGGTTTGTCTATCCCGGAGTATCCAGTTCCATTCGACAAACTCTAATATTTGGAATCTCAATTCCAAGGTGCACTTTGTGACGTGCAATGTCAACGACTTCATGATCGAATTTCAGGTTTTTGTCGTTGGAGTGCTTTTTGAGATGTCATTGAGTTGACTTGTGTGGTATACATACCGAATAGGGAAATTTTGAGCTTACCGACGCACAATAACGTTACATGTATTTGAATGAACTTTGTCGATGTACTAGTATCAACTTGACGATTCACAACTTTATCTTGAAACAGCCAGCGCATATTGCATCATGGGTTGTGCCACACTTACCTCTATATCCAACTACCACAGCTATAGTCGATAATTGACTATGCCCTTGTTGCGTAGCAAAGGACATGAACGTTCCTCGAGGAGAATGAGAGTTTTGCAAGGACAGCTCTAAAAACCGGTAGATGTGAACCTGTATTGGAATGAACACGATGCACATCCTAACTTGTAGCCCAAAAGTCTGAAGACAACCATGTTGACATTTCCCTTATGTATTACTGACGAATGTAGCTACGCTCCATTGCACAGGAATGGCTCGATAAAGGAGCGACTGGCCGAGAGGCGTGTGAATACCTCGTACACGGGCTTGGACTCGCAGTTGCCCGTGGTGAGCGTGCCAACTAGAAAATCTCTTCCACGATCCAAGAATGAACGAACTGCATTTGTCGATGCTGTCGTTGTCACCACAAACTTGGTGGTCGTATATGTTGCGATTGTGTTTGACTTGACACTCGCCATTTGGAATGACTTGAACTGTCGTTTCCACGAGCCGATTCAGCGACTTGTCGCTGTTCGCTAGAAACCAGCCACGCAGCCACACCACCTTGCCCGGGGCGACGTCGTTCCACAGGATTTGCACTGGTGTGTAGTTGGATGGTCGCGCGAATTGCACCATTGCGAGATCCATGGCATGGTTGGGACAATAGTAGTACTTGTGCACGCGTATCCATTCCCCGTCATCCGGCTCGCCATTGAACCGACTTGCCCCCACCAACACCATACTTCCCTTGAAATCTTCTTCGTACAATTTGGTGCAGGCTCGAGTGAAGAGGGCGAAGTTGGCGTCGATGAGAATCCCTTGGCAGATCATGGGAGTTTCCGCAGACACACGCAGTTGGGCCATATACGTTGTCATCTTTGCGTTCTGGAAGCCTGCAAGGTGTGCATTCACCACCAGCGCGGTTATGGCGGCGACCGCGGCAGGCCAAACCAGCTTTTGCATGACACGTTGTGTTCAATAATGTGGCTCTTGCAGTGCAATGTATGGACAATGTAGGATTTCTCGGAAGATCAATCCATCAACTCCGAAGCGAGGATCTCATGGCTTCACGATTTCAACTTCGTTTTCTACATATACCAGTTTATATCTATCTATCGGCCGTGTTTACTTCTGATCCATGGTTCTTGTCACTTGCCAATCACCAAGGATAATATATGTCTGACTGTTTCCAGGATATTTGGCGGCAATCTGAAGGAAAATGTGGAGTTGAACGGCTTGTACTTCGGCAACGTCGATTAAAGTTTGCAAATACATATTGTGAATTCAGTCCAAGTTTGCTCAAACCGATCGGTTTCGGGCAAAAATAAAAACCGACCCCCAAATCAATCCATAGATATTATTTCCAATCAATGTTAGCTGGTACTAGGCAAGTCCTGGGAGCTCCAACACTACATGGCGGCTGCACGACATCCGTATGCTCGTCCTAACATCCTGTACGGGTATCGACATTGCCACTGTAAGTATTATCATATTGGGTACTTTGAGTTTATGACAGTAAGATTGAAGCGAGTAGAAGTTCGAATTCACTCAAGGGAGAATCGAGAGTTAATCGAGTTCAGTTTCAGCACCGTCGGCTGCTTAGAGAATGCTATGTGGTTGAAATGTACCATGTGGGATGACTTACTAGTTCGGTTCGAGATGCCGCCTAATTGTAAGTACTGCTTTCTCCACGCATTCATGCGTAGACGGTCATGTGCACTGGAAGTCATTTGCGGAATGAGATCTCAAAAAGACCAATTCCCCGAGTGAGTGGGTTACACACCCACTCAATGGTCAAATGCCCACTCACTCAGGGAATTTGGTACTATTGACCTAAAACGTCCCTGAGTAAGTGGGTGGGACTAATTGCTTGCTACGATAAGTACAATCCTGAAGTTCAGCATTGCACAACACTGCGCGAAGTATGAACGCACCTGGGACGCAGTAAAGGCAAAGTACGCCGCCTAATGGAGAGAGACGTTAGTATGCATCATGCGATGGAGAGGAGGTCGTACAAACACGGCGATGGACACGAACGTGACCGTGATCCACTTGAACGGGTTCCATGATGACGCCGCCACGATGTCCCAACAATGTTACGTGTACTACTAGTACTACTAGTAGTAAGCTTCCTATTAATACTACCACTTGTACTGTACAGTCTGTAGAGTCTGTAAGGTACGAACGACAATAGTAGTACTAGTAGTACAGTTGTACAATCCTAACGTTAACGTTAAACACCGTTACGAAGGCAAACAAGGTTGTAGAACGTTAATCGTACCAACGGTGAATAGTACAGTATAATACTAACGTTACTCAAGTGTGTTAAACAGTAACAGTATTCTACGTAAGCTGCACCATTGCTGGTAGTAATTCGTGGTAATTCCTCCGAGTAGTAAATTGATGGGATTTGAAAACCTCATCACTTAAATTGAGCTTACACCACACAAGGCGACAGCAGCCATGAGTAGTCTATTGGGGAAATGCTATTAAAAATAAGCTTACACCACACAAGGCGGCAGCAGCCATGAGTAAGTAGCATATCGGGGAAATATAATTAATGTCGCTAGGCTTAGTGGCAGTAATAACGTTATACACGAACGACGAAAGTATACTTCGACAAATGCAAATGTTCCTTATAATTCGGAGCATCAATCTCCACAAGCAACTACTTGCCCCCTCCAACTTTTGTATTCAATTTTCAGTGAGCTACGCGTAGACTTCAGTTGGTTGTCGGGGTTCCAGTAATATCGTTTCGAAGAATACCGGTATATATATAT